GCCAGCCGCACTCCCCTCGCCCCCTCCCCTCCCCAAGGCCAGCCATGCTACCCCCAACCCTGGCCCCTCCCTGAGGCCAACCTCGCTGCCCCCGACCCCAGCCTTGCCCCCCTGCCAGTCGTGCTGCACCCGATCCCCTGCCCGGGGCACCCCCCCGCCCACGAGTTTAAGCTCACCTCGCTTGATGGGGCGGCTGGGCGACGTTGCTGTGTCCCTGCCGCCTCTTTCCGTGGGGTCTTAAGACCCACCGGTTTTGGCCGCACATGCACGGCAAACCTGGCAAGGCATCCTTTCCCCAGAGTGTTGCCCCCCTGCCAGTCGTGCTGCACCCGATCCCCTGCCCGGGGCACCCCCCCGCCCACGAGTTTAAGCTCACCTCGCTTGATGGGGCGGCTGGGCGACGTTGCTGTGTCCCTGCCGCCTCTTTCCGTGGGGTCTTAAGACCCACCGGTTTTGGCCGCACATGCACGGCAAACCTGGCAAGGCATCCTTTCCCCAGAGTGCTGAAGTGGCACTCCTTCGCTCACGCCCCCTTTGAAACAGAGTGTGCCTGGGCACAACCGGCACACGCCTATGCTGCCAGTGTCTGAGTGCGGAGCCTAGCCAACAGTTTGCAGGGCTGGCGTCCAGGAGCAGGGAGGTGGTCTGGCAGGCCGCAGAGACAGGTGGCCAGGGCTAGCAGCCGGGGGGGACGGGGCGGAAGGGCCAACTCCCTTGCTTGGGACTGGTCAGGTCCTGAGGGTGCCAGACCAGAGAAGTCCAACTTGTATTTCACTACTTTCATAAAATATATTACAGGTCTTTTACTCAGAGGCTGTGAAGTATTATCAAGAATCATTATACTAAATAAAGTGTAACTGATCATATGTTCATATTCTTTTTTTACCCAATTCAGCAAAGCTCTTTTCAGTACATGCTAACATTGTTTTGCTGATAAGGTTGAACCCAGGTGTTCGGTTTTAAACTGGACAGTCCAGTATTTGAGCTTTCTTTTCTCAAACAAATTGAGAAAATATAAATGAGAAAATATAACTGTCTGGTATTTTCTAAATAAGATGTAATGTAGATTGTGATGTAATGTCAAGTGTGTCCAGTATTTCTGTTGAAACCATCTGGCAACCCTATTTGCTGAATAAGATGGACTTACTCTTGTGCTTGAAATTAAGCTTCTGTTCAAATTCTCTGCTAAATCTGAATCTACTTCCTAATTTGCAAAATTTAATAATGAATGTCCTGGTTATCTGAGCATATTGTAGGGCTTTACTGTACATATTGCTTTGCTCAATAGAGGGTGATGGTTTAGGTGGGTTAGGATTCTCTTCATCCTTAAATATCTATTCAGTAACTTTTTAAAAAGCTAGAAACAACCTCCTCCCTTCCACACAAACACACACAAACATTTCAGGAACAGTAATGGGTTTACAAGGTCAGGAGTAAGAATATAGAAATTACCAGAATGGAGAAGACCAAGTCTGCAGCTAGTCCAGTCTCTTCAGTACCAAGCATTTCACAGGAAAAAGTAAAATTCTCATAATGGATGATGACGGCATAACATGATGTCAGTTAGGTTTTGTTTACACACAGAACTTACACTAGTTTAATTAAGGTCTTGTCTATGTGAGAAAGTTGCACTGATTTAATCTAAGCTGGAATGATAAACTGATTTAGTAAGTGAGTATAAAAGGCTCTGTGATCACATTTATTTAAACCAGGTTTATCTGGATTTAGCATATATCCACTAGGAATCAACTTAAGATAAACCAGAATGAAAGTATCAACACAGCCTGTTACACCAGTTTAACTAACTTGTTCTAAAATCTGATTTATGTTAAACCAGTGCAATTATCTACAGGTAGACAAGGCCTTTGGATCTATATCTAGATCTATATATAAAATGCATTACCTACCATTTAAACAAAGATTGCTTGTAGCTACTGCAATCAAAACAGGAAGGAGGACAAAGCAGACTTAATAGTTATAGCAGACTACAGAATTGTAATGAACTGTAACTAACTAGAATAGATACCTCATAACCTTTCAGCGATGGGCCAACTAGCACAACGGGTCTCATAGATGGCACTACATCATAAGGAGGAACATGTTCTGTCTGAAAGAAGAAAATATCCAATCATCATATATTCCAAAACAAACTCAGCATGCAAACTATAGAAATGATATAGCAGAGTAAGATACACTTACCACTTTTTGTTTCTGTTTTGCTAAAAGACCAAAAACAATAACTTAATTAACATGCATACTGCACATAACGGGATAATCACAAGATTTGCAAAGACTGCTCTGCCAATGCACTTTTGATTTATATTTCTGCATCTCCTTTCTGATTAGTATTAGTCACTATCCTTTTGAGGGAGTCTGCAGATTTTTTAGTTCTTTTCTCTAGTCCTATATATTTTTTTTTAACAATCACTACATGACTGATAAAGGTTTAAAAGCAAGTATTTTTTCTCTTCCAATAAATCTGAAGAAGGTTTGAACAACTAGCATTGATCTACTGGACATTTTTGTTATTTAGTATTTTATTTCAACTTTAAAAGAAAGTTTAAGAAACGAATAGTTTTCTGTATATAAAATCCAAAATTCACCTGTGGAAGTGGGTGTAGCTCTAAATGTGCCAGACACCATTTCTCCAAGACTTGAAGAAGAATTTCCACTTGATTTCCTACAGCATTACAAAGAGTGCCCATTAACAGAGACTGCCCATTAACAAAAATATTCTGACAGTCAATTCACAAGGCCCCACAGCTCCTATTCCAGCATCCAAGATGCTGCATTGCTGCCCCATGGCTGGCCTATAGGTTTGGTGGAGGAGGAATTGCATCCCATGTTTCTCTGCTTAATTCACCAGGCAGTCACATGATCAAAGAAGAGAAAGTTCAATCCATCACTTGGACCCAGTGATACAAATGGATTAATTTCTATAGTTTCTCAACATCTGATATTCTCTTTTACTATGCATCAATCCCAGATACCTCTCTCTCCAAGCATCAAGATACAAAGGCTAAAACTCAGCTGTAAAAGCAGTTTGGCTAAATCACAGCTGATGCTATTCTAGATACATTGCCCCAGATGGTTTACTCTTGAAATCATTCCTGAGAGAAGTATGACAATTATCTGTCATTACTTTATAGGCTAAATTATGATCTTCACTTTTGCCACCTATTATGGCTAGACTCAACTGTTTCACCTTTCTTTCCTTTACAATGAAGTATCTAAAAATATCATTCTCTGCATGCGCCATTTTGTCAGCATTAGTAGGATTTCAGTGATGGTGTTAAAGTAAGTCTGTTTGGGCATTTGGATGGTGATTAACTGTCAGAGATATGGCTCTCAGGCCTGTGCCCAAGCTTTTACTAATCAAGAGACTTACACTATTTAACTGGGGGGGGAAAGGGGGCAGAAGAGTGGTGGGAGACAAGAAGACGACAGGCGGGGGATGAAGGCAGAGACACAACTTGAGGTGAGGCGCAGTGGAGCCAGCCAGAGTGCAGTTAAAGAAAGGGTTGCAATGAGATTGAAGTGCAGTACAACTGTCTATGTGCTGTTCCCAATTTAGCAGTGAGTTAGAATAAGGAGGCCAGGAGGCAAAATCTTAGGGCCCAAGAGAGTTCGCTGGTTTGACCTAACCCTGCATGAGCTCAGACTGCTTGCCCTTCAGGCCAGTGGTTTTTAACCATGGGTCCGGGGCTCCCAAAGCGTCCATGATTCTTTTCAAGGGGCCTGGGAGTCCCATTGCTGAAAGCCTGAGCTCTGGCACCCACCATGGGGCTGAAGCAGGGATTGGAGATGAAGTCTCATCCTTGGTACTCCCCCTCCACACCCACACGCACAGCGCTGAATCCCCCCATCACTGGCATCCTTCTGCAAGAGTGAAGCCAGGAGTGGTACAGAGATGAAGCCCTGACACCTGACACTGCTGGAGTCATGCAGTTTGTGGCTGCTGCTCCTCTGGCTGGTGGTGCCACTGAATGGGCAGCTGTGGCATCCCCCCATCTGATACTGGTACCCAGTGTCATGGCTCCAACTCAGCTCCCAGTCCCTTCAACTGTTCATGCAGTGAGTCAGGGACCCAGCTCTGGCGCTGGTAGAGCAGCCACCAGCACACAGCCCCAGACAAGTGGGTGGCCTGCTGAGGGGAGTCAGGGTGGAGACGGCATTTCTTCCTAGACTCTACTATGCAGAGCTGACCCAAGACATGTCCCACCCCCCAAACAGAAGTCAAATTGTGCCTATGCCCAAGGGTTCCACCCCTGGCCTGGAGCCCCAAATTCCCTCTGGTTCCTGCTGGACCCTGGAGTTTTTATAGCATGTTGAGAGCAGCGTCAGAGAGAAAAATGTTGAGAATCCCTGCTCCATGCTTTCGTCACCATCCTGCAAGACTTATTTTTCAAAGTTTATCCCGGTAGTTTTCCTGTGCCTCATATTCAACAGAGACAGTGAGAGATGTAGAATGCCTACTATTTCCTGTAAGCGTATATATTTTAACCTGCTCTCCATTTTGCTACATGAATACAAAACCATTTATAGACAGTGAAGATTGAGGAATACATTTAAAAAGTCAGCTGAACTCCACAAATATTGCCTAGTGTGTGTTGTGTTTGGAAATAGCTCAAGACACTCTTACCCTCCATGGAAACGTCATCTTTTCTGCTCCTGCTGAATTCGGATATTCTCCAGCCTAAGAGGGCTTGGAATGAAGCCAATCTCGCAGCCTTCTTTAACCAGCCTTCCTATCCACCAGTCGTTGTTATATTTCTGTAACACAGAGAGATGACTGACTTCACTCACAAATGCCACTTATCCCAAGTAACTATGAGCTATGTATTATCCACAGGCTTTAATACCATGTTACCATTCTCGCAGCCTTCTTTAACCAGCCTTCCTATCCACCAGTCGTTGTTATATTTCTGTAACACAGAGAGATGACTGACTTCACTCACAAATGCCACTTATCCCAAGTAACTATGAGCTATGTATTATCCACAGGCTTTAATACCATGTTACCATTCTCGCAGCCTTCTTTAACCAGCCTTCCTATCCACCAGTCGTTGTTATATTTCTGTAACACAGAGAGATGACTGACTTCACTCACAAATGCCACTTATCCCAAGTAACTATGAGCTATGTATTATCCACAGGCTTTAATACCATGTTACCATTTGTAGACCAGCATTCTTGCTGAATAGGGATGTTAGTGTATAGCTGAGTAAGATTAACCAATAATCTTGGGTTTATCAGTTAATCTTATTGACTACACACACTCTCCCCGCCTGTGCCTATGTATCAGAGGAAGCAAGGGAGAGGAAGCGAGAGCCAGGCCCTGTGAGCTCCCCACGAGCATCAGATCCACCTGCTCCGTCTCCCCCCACACTGCTGCCTCTGATAGAGAGGCAGCAGCACGAAGGGTGAGGGGGGCAGGCTGGAACTGATGCATGTGGGGAGCCAGCTTTCAGGCCAGCTCCCCACGCATATCAGCTCCTGTGGACCCGCCTCACCCCCCCACACACACACACACTGCTGACTCTTGGAGAGGCAGCAGGTGGGGGAGGAGGGGCAGGCAGGAGCTGATGCTGGAGGAAAGCCGGCTTAAAAGCCAGTTTCCCTCAGCATTAGCTCCACAGCTCAGAGGCAGCAGCGTAGGAGGGGGCTCTCCAGGAGTGGGGCCAGAGCGCCCTGCCTCCAAGGACTATCAAATAGTTGTGTAACTGCAAAAATGTCATGCGGTTACATGACTACTCAATTACACGATATCTAATATCCCTACTGCTAAAAGTTGATCATTGGCCAAACTTTATGCATTGATATAGGCCAGTATGAAAACTGAAAGAAGTTGCCACACCAAGAGCTCTCAAGACTGAAAGTTTTTTGTGCCCACAGAATAGGTACAGCCCAAGCTGTGTCACTACAGGTTTCTCTCCAAAGTCTCTCATCCTTGACATGGATTGTCAAACTCTATGTTCATTCTCTATGTCCAGACATGACTTTTCTGTTGACACCATCAACAAATGTGCAAACTGGTGATAATGGTAGTTTGGAAGAATGGTTTACTAACTAACATCTTAATCTCTGGACCATCTTTCCTCTACCTTTACTTCAGTTTACTAGCAGTCCTATACTTATAGAAACAGGTATACCCTTGGATAGATATTAAAATTGAAATCATATTTTGTCAAGAGTTATTGACACTATATTTAAAAAAGAATATTAGTTTTCCTATAGAGATTTACATAATTAAAACCAGTATATATCAATCCCAGTTTAATACTCTGAGAAACAATTAAGTCAAAGATTTATAAAATGGGTGAGGAAGAACCCAAGTATATCCCCATCAGTTCCCTGGCTCAAACTCTCAGGCACTTAAATTTATTCTTGGGCAACTAAATACATTTTGATGCTCCTATCTGAAGTCAGTGAGATCTGCACATGCTCATGATCCATTAAAAAGAATCAGACCATTTATTTAGGGGCCTAACTATACACCCTCAAATTTGAAAGTTTGGCCTCAATAACTTCCTAGCAAGAGTATGTGTTTCTTCATCTTCCATATACATTTTTCTATGGTTTGAATTATCCTTTGTTATATACTTTTACGATGTGCTAGTTTAAGAATATAAAAATCATGATATTGGCCAGAACAATGGTCCATCTGGCTCAGTAGTTTGTCTCAGACAATAGGGTGTGCCAGAACTTTGGAGGGAATGTACAGAGCAGGGAAATTGTGGGATGATCGACTCATCTTCCACTGCTGGCTTCTGGTAATCAGAAGCTGAGGGTGGTCCTACACATGGGACTGCATCCCTGAGCACCTTGATTAACGTACTATCTATGAACTTATCAAATATTTTTTGAAGTATTTTATGCTTTTGGCCATTACAACATCCCACGGCAGCAAGCTCTACAGATTAATTGTCCATCATATGAAATAGTACTTCCTTTTGTGAATATGAAACCTGCTACCTATTTATTTCATTGGATGACCCCTTGGTTTGTATTCTATTCTATTCACTTTTTCCACACCATCCACAATCTTATAAATGTCTATTATATCATCACTTGGTCATCTGTTTTCTAAGATGAACAGTCCTAATCTTTTTAGTCTTTGGTTGTATTGAAGCCTTTCCATACTCTTGATAATCTTTGTTGCCTCTCTCTGAAGCATTTCCAGTTCCACTATTCTCCTTCTGATCTGGGGTGACCAGAACTGGACAGAGGATTCAAGGTGTGGAAATATACTATGGATTTATATAATGGCATTACAATATTTTCTGTCTTATTTTCTATCCCTTGGGGTATGTCTATACTTGCAGCCTATTTCAGAATAGGGCTGCAAATGTAGGCATTCAGAATTGCAAATCAAGCCCGGGATTTAAATATCCCATGCTTGATTTGCATCTTCCCGGCCGGGTGCCATTTTTGAAATTTACAAGCCCGGAATAACTGTCTGCGTCTACACATGGCAGTGAAACGGGCGATCGAAATAAAGCCCTATTTCAAACTACCTGTCAAACCTCATTGCAGGAGGAATTCATCAATGATGAATTTCATCTGCCATGTTGCCCAATCACCCAGTTTTGAGAGATCCCTCTAACTTCTTGGCATTTACTTTGAACTCAACTATCTTGAATCATTTTGTAGTGTCTGCAGATTTTCCCACTTTGTTGTGTTGAACAGCACAGGTCCTTGGGGTGACCCTGATGTTCACCCTTCTCCCTTGTGAAAACTGACCATTTATTCCTGCCATTTGTGTCCTACCTTTCAACCAGTTACTGATCCAAGAAAAGACCTTCCTTCTTATTTCATGGCTACTTAATTTGTGCAAGAGTCTTTGGTGTGCAACACTGACAAAGATTTTCTGAAAATCTAAATATATTGTACTGACAGGATCCCCTACTCCACATGCTTGTTGGCTCCCTCAAAGAATTCTAATTAAATTGGAGAGGCATGACTTTCCTTTATAAAAGCCAGGTTTACTATTCCACTCTTCCCCCACCAAATTGCATTGATTTGCATGCCTGAAAATTCTCTTTCTACCAACTTGCCCAGTACTGAACTTAGGCTCACTGGCCTGTAATTTCCAGGGGTCTTTTCTGGAGCGCTTTTAAAAACTGACATGACATGAATTACCTTCCTGTTCTAGGACAATGGTGATTTCAGCAATAGATTACATACCCGAGTTAGGAGTTCAGCAATTTCATATTTGAGTTCCTTAAGAACTCTTGGGCGAATATCATCTGGTCCTGGTGACCTATTAGGGTATGTCTATACTACCACCCTAGTTCGAACTAGGGTGGTTAATGTAGGCAACCAGAGCTGCAAATGAAGCCCGGGATTTGAATTTCCCGGGCTTCCTTTGCATGTTGCCGGGCGCCGCCATTTTTAAATGTCCGCTAGTTCGGACTCCGTGCCCGCGGCTACACGCGGCACGAACTAGGTAGTTCGGATTAGGCTTCCTATTCCGAACTACCATTACTCCTCATAGAATGAGGTGTACCAGTAGTTCGGAATAGGAAGCCTAATCCAAACTACCTACTTTGTGCTGCGTGTAGCCGCGGGCACGGAGTCCGAACTAGCGGACATTTAAAAATGGCGGCACCCAGCAACATGCAAATGAAGCCCGGGAAATTCAAATCCCGGGCTTCATTTGCAACTCCGGTTGCCTACATTAACCACCCTAGTTCGAACAAGGATAGTAGTGTAGGCATACCCTTACTGTTTAGTTTATCAGTCTTTACTAAAGCCTCTTCTACTGACAAAGCAATTTGGAACAATACTTCAGATCTGTCACCCAAAATATAGTTCTGATGTGGATGTCTTCCCAACATCCTCTGCAATGAAGACTGACGCAAAAAAATCATTTCGGAAACTGTAGATGGAACTACAAGACCCTACCTCCTGGAAATTTCACAAATAAATCACCGACTAAAATACCAATCATTCTAAATTAATCTTGATCCTAGTGGTCCATTTTAAAGTAATATTCTCAACTTTTGCCATCTTCAGATGGATTATTATAGATAAAAATACCTGTGGTGGGAAATGTACAAAATTCTGCATATATAATGTTTTGCATTAACAATAACATTGGTTATATTGGGATTTGTTTTGTACATTCATAACATACAATGAAAATATCTGTGTATTGGCAGGAGAAGGGAGAATTGTTTGGGAAGAAAAACTAGGAGCTGTTTGGTAAGAATTTTTTTTTTATTAAAAATCACAGACTGTAAAGTAGGGATGTAAGAGTGCACACGTGTACGTGGTTAACCGATGAGCCTGGACTCATTGGCTAACCTTCATGGTTACATGCAGGGCCCCCCCCTCTGGCTCCCACCTGCCCCTCCACGCTGCTGCCTCTATCAGCAAAGTGGGCAGGCAGCTCCACGGGAGTGAGGCAAGCAGGCAGGTAGCTCCTGGGGAGCGGCTGCACCCAAGGACCCAGTTTATAACTAGGAAGCTTCATGTAAGGCCTGGTGTAACTGCATTGTTTGGCTCAAGGTGTCCTTCCCACTCCTAAGCTACCCATCTCAATCTCACTGCTAAATGCATCAAGTTCAAGAGGTTTTAAAACCTACTAAGACATGATCTCCCTTCCATGCTTTTAAGACCTGACAATAAATTAGCAGCTTCGAATTCTTAACAGTACAAGATACAGCTTCCTGGCCCAAGAATCCTGATAAGGATGATTGGTCCAAGATGTTATTACTAATCAAACAGACGCTCTGTGTAATGCAGGCACATTTTTGTCTTGTATGGCTCAAATGTGAGTGTTCAGGTTTTAGTTGTTGGCAGTTCAGAGGAATAATTGCATGCTGTCGTTACCTCTTTAATATGCAGAAAATCCTTGGCATCAAAAGAGATGGCAGTGCTTGGGACAGGAACATCTTCGTCCAGTGCGCCACAGTAACTCACATTAGTCTTGACTGCAAACGCTACAGGTTTAGACTAGGAATAGAAATACATGTCACAAGCACATTGCAGAAGTATTTCTGTACTGATTAGATTCAAGAATCATACTGCTGACTGTTTCAAATAAAAAAAATTAGTCATGTGTTGGCACATACAGCCAAATTCAGACCTAATGCAAGCAGACACAACTACCACACAAGTCTTTTTGTTACAACAGAAAACTGATCCATCAGTTGCAATCCTCCCGTAGGACAATTCAAAGGAAGTGAATTCCCTCCTCCACAATGGAGTGTCGTACACAAGGTAAGAAAATTCTTCCTTTGCAGAGGTTGTTTTGTGTCCCAAGCCATGAGATGTGATGGAAGATACTACCAGACCCAGCAACAGGGAGGGCAAACGGGGCATTTGCCCCGGGCCCAGTGATTCAAAGGGGCCCAGGGAGCCCCCTGCCACCACTGATACTAAAACCAAGAGGGCTCTACACAAATGTGATAGGCATTATAGGAATTAATCCAAAAGCACATAGAACTTAAAGAATGAGAGCACCTTTCTACTGGCTTTTTAAAACTGTCCGTGGAAGGGATAAAATTTTATTTTAAATTCTGCAGCAGAGTCTAAAACCCCATAAAAAGTGTACCATTGTAACAAGGCCTGTGAGGTTGGGAGCCTCTCCCAGCAGGGTCCCAATCAATGTTCCCTCTAATTTTTTCCACTCACATGCAGAATAAATTTTGTTATGTGCACCAAGGCAAGTGTAGATGTGTGCCACCAATAGAAACACATGCTGCCGATCTGGATGGCTGTGGGTGCTCTGCTAAACAGCTGGGCGGCACCTAAACCACTCCTGGATGGCTGCCCAAGCACTCAGCTTACTGGGAACACTGGTCCCAGTCATGCTCTGAAGTTGGCCTCCACTTAACACACTGATGGAAAAATGTGGCCATGAAAACATTTGCCTGTTTTCCAAAATAAAAATAAATCTCTCTGGCATGTATTTATCCCCAGTTTATTTTACTGTCACCCCTATCACTGCAATCTCTGAATGCCTAACCTCCCTGACAGAATGTTTGTCATTTGCAGCCCCTTTCTGCAGGGATTAATCAAACAATCCACATTTTGAGAAACAAACGAAAAAAGGATTAAATTGCAACCATTATGTCAAAATCCTATATCTGAATGCATATTGGTACAATAGCAATTGAAATGAATGGCATTCATGTCCACACATCACAGGGTACTGGATTGAAGAATCTAAGCCAAATTCACAAAACATTGTTCAAGTGTTTATATCCTGGATTTTATTATGTAGATTTTGTGTATTATTTCTGATAGGAAATTGTACAAGATATAGTTAGGAATTTGTCCCATTATATTTACATCCAGTCTCTCCACAGCTCACTTGTAGGATGATCAGCAAGACCAAATCCAAATTCAAAACAGTTAAACAAATTGCTGTGAAATGGGTTTGAAGTCTTTTGTGTTGGGCTCCTTCCCTTTCCTGAAATAAATGAGCCAAAATCCGCTCTCATTTACACATGGAGGAGATGCCAACAGACACAAGGTTACATGGGTGTGACAGCAGGATTGGCTCTATGCTTTAAGTAGTATCTTCTTTGTGAAAACATTTGATATCTCCCCTTCTAACATCTTGTAGTTGCTTGCCAAACTATTGCAAAGTATATGATCACCATTATAAAGCCTGTAGAATGAATTCTCACACTATGTAAAGGTTGAAGTGTGATCAAATGCCACCTAACTTTGCTATCATTAAAGCTGAAAAGAAGAACTCACCTTTGCCCTTTCAAGCTGAATAGCGGCTTGCTGTTCTCTCTCCTGGCGGATTGCTTCTCTGTCCTCTTCCAAAGATACATCAGAATCTGATGGCCTGCTTGTGTATGAATCTGCTGATCCCTACACAGAGGAACACATCATTAAGAAAAATATAGGGTAGAAGAATCCATGCCAAATTCACAAAACATTGCTCAAGTGTTTATATCCTCAATTTTGTTATGTAGATTTTGTGTATTATTTTTGGTAGGAAATTGTACAGGATGTAGCTAGGATTTTAAGTAGTTTTATAGATGTTATTTTTCTGCAAAACACAAAATTCCAAGGGAAATCTTTCTCTTTTTAAGAACTTGTGCATTGCCTTTGTCCCCTTTATGGGCATGCATCATAAAGCAATCAGCACTGGGCACAGCACAACTTATTACAAGATTTAAATCCTGTTTGATGGCATTAGCTTAAAGATCACCTCTCCATCAAATGTTACATCAGATAGACTCAGATTATTGTATGGCTCTGTAAAAATCACTTTCTGTGTAAATATATTACTGATGTATAAATATTTCACTCAGTACCCTGCAGCACACAAAATAATTATTCTGTGCTTCATACTAAATGCAAGTGTGTGTGTGAATCAAGAAGCAAAAGTGTACAAATGCCAGAACAGACTATTAAAATTATTTGACAGTGGAACACTTAAATCCAACTCTATCCTATGCGTGACATGAAATACAGATGACATTTGAATCAGAAGAGATATATATTAGTCTGAAAAGGTGACAAACAGGATATACTGTAGCAATGTTCAAGTCACTATTCAAGATGAGTAGCACAATCTAAATTAATAATGTTTTACACCCCCTTTTATAATAAACAGCTTGACATTGAGATCCTGATTCTACAATTAGATCGGCACAAATGTGCCTTCTTGCATCAAACTGCAGAATTGGGTAAAGAAGATTTTGTAATCGACAAAAGTACAAAGTATTTGCAAATACTATGAAACTAAACACCAAAATAGATCTCAGATGCCTAGCAAAATTGGAGCTCAATTCTACTTGCATGACTTTTCATTCTAATAAAGATGTGTACAACTGGAGACTTGTTTCTAAAAATGGTGTTAAAAAAGGCAAATTTAAGGTTTTTTTGTAATGGTCAGTTCCTGCAAAATGCTATGCATACTAAGCTCATAGTAAAGTAAATCTTACAAGGGAAAGATCTGCACATGACAGTTCTGTTTTCTGAACAGGAGAAATTTCTATTTTTGCATTTGTTTAGGTGACTAATGCTTTCCCTATGAAACTTCCTTCCTCTTTCCACTGCTGATACAGTGCCCATTGAAGTTCCCAATCTTCCCACGGATTCCAGTGATTCAGGTTCAGGTACTATTTGGTTTGGCATTTGATTAATTTATATTTAGTTCAATTTATAAGCATCCAGCAATAGCAGCAATTAATTTTATTCTGCACTCTTATGACACACACAGTGGACAGATTTGCACAATTATGTATTTTGAGCACATGTATTATGAATTTGAATGCAATAGCAATTAATATTTTAAAAGTCAGCAAATAAAATATAACATTTAGGGTATAAGACCATAGATAAAATAGGTAAAATGACATAATTTAGTCTCATTAACCCATTTTTACATTTTCATACTGTTCACATTTCTTAGTTTGGAAAAGCACAATGCTAGGATCCGAACTGTACAAACAAAACCATCCTTGCACCCATAAGAAAACCCAATTAAGTCAACTGGGCTGCTATCCATGCAGATCTCCATGCAGAAGCTGAATCGAGTACAGGCAGTCCTTGGGTTACGTACAAGATAGGGACTGTAGGTTTGTTCTTAAGTTGAATTTGTATGTAAGTCGGAACTGGTACATATTGTAGGGGAAACTCTAGCCAAACATTTCTCCAGAGCTCAGTTTTATTCTCCCACATCTCACTTCCCTCAGTCCTTTATTCTCAAGCTGAGGTGTCTGCTGAGAAAAGCCGCTCCACGTCTCCCTGGTCTGCTGGAGGGGAAGGGGGGGGCTAGCTTCGCGTCTCCCTGGTCTGCTGGGGGGAAGCAGCTAGTGCGGGGTTGCCTCACCCCGTTTGTAAGTAGGGATCCGATGTAAGTCGGATCAATGTAACCCGGGGACTGCCTGTACTGTACAGTAATGAGCAAAAGCCCCACAGGAACTCTACGCCACACTGTTTGTGAACATTGCTGTAAAATATAGTACTCCATAAAACAGAATTTTTAACTAATTGGATCTTCTGTATCAAATAAGTGTTCGGCAGCAAGTACAGCAACACATTACTAAATGATCATATTTTCAAACTGAAAAAAAATCATCTTCTCATCCAGGAAAGCCATTAACAATCTATTTTTGTCAAATGGATGACTATTTTGTCTCACCACAATTTTTACAAGAGCTTTTTAAATTAATTCATGACTCAACCAATTCAGATGCAAGTACATTAAAAAAAGCTTTTTTTAAAACTGATTTTCACTGCTACAATAAAAAGTATCCTATTTATTCTATGCTGATGTCATTTCAGTATATTTTTGTGTATGAAGCTATTTTACAGCATAACTATTCGGCAGTGAGCTTAGATAATAAGTAAAATAAGTAGAGACTAAAGAAGAATAAACAATAATTCTCAGAACTCTTATAATAAATTCCACTTAAGTACAGCAGCATTCAGTCAGGTATGCTCTGATGTGGGTATCAGACATAACCAAAGGATATTCAAAGTTGGAAGATGTAAAGAAACATTGTGATGAAGTAATAAAATAAACTGATTAAAACAATTTAGGCTGTAAACCCAATATTTAGAGGACATATGTTGGTTAGTTAGCTATTTAAGTAAAAACAAAGCAACAAGGACATAAAAAACGGTTACTTATCTTCGTAACTGTTGTTCTGAGAGATGTGTTGCCCATGTCCATTCCAAGTATCTGTAGGGCCAGCAGAGGAGCCACCTGGAGTGCTGCCGGTATATCCGCTAATATATACCCCTGCTAGCCCTCCACCCCCTCAGTTCCTTCTTACTGGACTACTCGAAGAAGAGGAGGCAGGCGGGATTTGGAATAGACATGAGCAACACATCTTGAAGAACAACAGTTACAAAGGTAAGTAAACATTTTTTCTTCAAATGATTGCTCATGTGCATGCCATGTAGGTGACTCCAAAGCAAAAACCCCAGGAGGCAGGATTGGAGTTCTAACCTTCAACTGAGCGGAGGACAGCTCTTCCCAAGGCTCCATCCTCCCTAGGCTGATGGGCCAATGTGTAATGAATGATTGGCAAAAGTGTGGACTCAAGACCATGTGGCAGCCCTACAAATATCCAGAATAGGGACCACCTGGCTAGGGACCTGCAAGGGGGCTTGAGAAGCTGCTGCCAAGGCCTCCATAGAGGGCTAGGCAACAGATGGACCTCTCTCTGCCACAGGCCCATGCAAGGCTTGCTCCGGGGGAAGAAACTGTCCCGATGTCGGGGAATGGATCAGTGGAGTCACCGAAGAGGGAGCCCTGGGCCTGGAGTAGACCAACCTCAGCCTAGGGGGCACGCCCCCTAGCTTTGGTGGTAGGTCTAGGGGGTCCAAAAAGGCCACTAAGCTGAGGCCTGGAGCTGTGGGGGCTAAGAGTGTTGTGTCCCTGGCACCGGGGTAGGCTGTGGCCAGGGCTGCTGGTGCTGGTGATACAGGTGTATTGATGTGCTGCAGTGCCAGGACCGGTGGTGGGAGTAAGATCAGTGCTGCAACCTTGATCTGGAAGCCTGCAAAGACCATACCGATTCCACCTCCAAGTCAGTTGTGTATTCAGACGTCAACCAGGGCACTGTGGTTGTGGAGGCGGTTGGCGACCCCTGGCAGAGGGGGAGGTGGAGGCTTCTGGCAGGACTTGAAGCTTTGGGGCCCGGGCATGCCCGCCGGACATGCAGGGGACAGGAAGCGAGCCCTGTGGCTAAGAACTACTCACTAAGAGCTACACTTAACAACTGCTAACGACTATTAACTACTAGAAAAGAAACAAAGAACTGTGAAAACTTTAACAAGGAACAGAACAGCAAGAAAGAACTGCTAAGAGGCAGTTGCAGAGTAAGAGCAAAGCATGTTCCAATGACCATCACCAGTGGTAAGAAGGAAGTGAGGGGTGGAGGGCCAGCAGGTGTATAGTAGCACCACTCCAGGGGGCTCCCATTGGCTCAATGGATACTGCTAAGGGAAAACCTGCCAATGACACATGCACGCAGTGCGCACGTACCTTCATGGAATGGACGTGAGCAATCCCTCAAAGAAGAAAACATATTTTTATCTCCATCTGGAAATCATAACACTTATGCAGAGAACCTGTCTAATGTAGTAAGACCAGGACTGATATTTAAAGGCAGACTCTGACTATGTGCCTGCTTTGTTGTACCCACAGTAACTGAAGCTGCCAGTCTAAGGGAGCAAATAATTGTTGGCAAATAAGTGCCCAGACAGTTCCATCTGCAAATCATTTGGGTTTTATTTTATGACAAAGATATTTGAGCATGTGATGATTTAAAAAAAAGTTGAATTTGTGCTACAGGTTGTATCTTCCTAAACTGGGACTCTCTGGCCCAGCAACATCTGTTGTCCAGCAGGACCATAGATGTTTCTGGACCAGAGAATGCAGGGACCAGAAACCCAAAGGCAGGACAGCCAGCAGCTGGGAGCTCTGCTGGGGTGGAAGCCAGAATGGGGGCCAGCATCCAGGAACCCAACTGCAGGATCAGGGTGGGCATATGGCAGCCCAGACAGGGCCAGCAGTAGGAGGACTATCCAGGGCTGGAAGAAGGGGGGCTGGCATCTGACAACCCAGCTGACAGCCCAGCCAGGCCAGAGGCAAAGGGGACCAGCCAGGCCAGAAGTGTTGCAGGCTGTGGGAAGGAGCGGTGGGTGGCAGGGGACCTCCTCTGGTCCAGCAAATTACTTCATTTGGAATCGGTTAGGTCCCGAGGGTGCCAGACCAGGGTGCTCCAATCTATACTTGCCAACCCTAAGGACTCCACAATCATGAAACTGGAATTAAAATAATAGGATTTTAAACGTTACACATCTGGGGGAATACTGTACTGGTTATACATCAGGAGCATCTTATG